TTCCAGGAACGTTGTCGGGATGCCAAACTTGCAACTGACCCAGGGAAAGCTAATAATCAAATTAAGTTTTCCGTAAGGTAAACAAAATGTAAAAGTCAAATGTCTCTTTGTATGACAAGAATCTGCCTCGTGCAATTCAGAATGCACAACCCAGCCCTGTAAACTAACGATAAGGTCAGATCTCAGAGCATCAGATAATTTGAGAGCTTTCAGTGTAGACTGTCTCTTTCCATGGCCCAGGGCATTATAAGTTTATTAAGCCTTAGATCCACTTCTAATCTAGTGATCTTTCAAACCACCAGCACAGACATTATTTAGATGGCCACCTTTTAAAAAATAATGATAATAGTTAAAATTAATATTTTTCACTTAATCTTCCATCTGGGAATCTCAAAGCACTTTACATACATTAATGAATTAATCCCCTCACTCTCCTGTAAAGGAGATAAGGGTTCTTATCCCCATTTTACCAGTGGATAAACTGAGGCATGTAGTGATTGAGGTCATTGATGTCACTGGGAAAATTCCCATGGATTTAAACAGGAGCAGTCTCTAAGTGACTTACCTAAGGCCACGCAGGATGTCTACGTCAGGGCTTTGACTAAAACCCAGATCTCCTCAAACTTTTCTTTAGCCACAAGAACACATTGCCTCTTTTTTTGTAGTTCCTCATACCTATGAAATGAGTAACTAATTGAAATGACTTTAGTGTCTTCCTAAGTCACAAAAAAAAATCTATATACAGCACACAAGCGATATATACAATCATTGGATATATTTGACTTCTAACTAGGGCAGCGTTACTTCCGATGGAATGAAAACAAACAAATACAATTTTATCATTTTTTTTAGCAAAAACATTTTTAGTAGACTGTTGTATTTATTAATAAATTATTCCTGGAAGCATATATCAGATGAGATGTCAGATCCCACCTGATAAATACCAGTATTTTATATTATGCCTACTGTCCTTCATCATAACGTATATAAAAAACAATTGATCAACTAATGATAAAACAATAATAAAATGTAAGCAAGGTCAGGAAAAAAAATAATAATAGGCAACAAAGAAAAAGTAATTACACTACACAATCATTCGTTTATAGCAGATTTTATCTTCAGGGTTTCAAGGACCATAGTTCTCCTCCAGGCAGTGTGATGGATTGAAGAATCTGAAACTCAGGCTCTGTGTACACTAGAGAAATTTGCACTGGTGTAGCTAAACGGAATCAAACACTAATGCAGGTGTGCTCCACTAGTGCAAAATGGGGCATGCATTCAGGTGACTCACTCCAGACACCTGTGCAAACCCTTAACGACACACTGCACCAGTGTCAAGCAAGACTTGCTCTTCTTTGACTTACTGCAGAGTAAGTCACACCAGTTCAAACTCCACTTTGCATTAGTGCAACATGTCTATGTTAGCACTCCGGTGCAAATTTCCCTAGTGTGGAAGGAGCCTTCAGTTTCTGTGATTCTTGTAATAGTGAAGGCTAGCAAGGAGCCAGTGATTGCTGAGGCCGGGAAGAACATATACATGAGTTCACTTGTGTTATGTCACTGGAATTAGGTTTTAATGTAAAAATCTTTCATTGGGAAAGATCAGGATAAACAACTCTAATCTCACCATTGAGCTGATTCTAAAAAGCAGAAATACATCATGAATTAATCATGTAAGCAAATTCTTGTGTCTCAAATGGAACGGAATATTGCTGTTCCGTAAATGGAGGCCATGGGACTTCCAAGGCTATTAACATCTCTGGTGATGGGTAGGTACTCGGAGCTCTAAGAGGATTTGGAAATATCAGAGCAACTCCCCTGAAGAGATGCAAGGCCTGAAATGAAAATATTTGCAAAACAATAAATCCACAAGGAGTCCAAGTATTTTCCAAGCTGGCAGGTTAAGAAAGGAAATGCAAAACACCTTCATGACAGCAGGCAGAACAGTAGTGAGAGCTTAGCACCCTGTAGCCGTTTTCAGCCTAAAGAACTCACTGCTACGTAGGATACCTATTAATATCTGGAGAGGATGGGCAATTAACTGGATACCGAAATCACTAATCACTACCTGAAAAATGTGGCTTACACTAATATATAAAAAGATTGCTAATATTACACTACACAGGGCCAAATTTATTGCTAGCATATGCCAATGCACTTCTATTTCCCTCAGATTTAAATATGATTCAAGATACACCTCTACCTCGATACAACGCTGTCCTCGGGAGCCAAAAAAATCTTACCACGTTATAGGTGAAACTGCGTTATATTGAACTTGCTTTGATCCACTGGCGTGTGCAGCCCCACCCCCCTGAACACTGCTTTACCGCATTATATCCGAATTCGTGTTATATCGGGTCGCGTTACATCTAGAGGTATATGTAATAATAGTAAAAATACTGCTTTGATCCTTCTATAGCACTTTTCTATTGAAAATCCCAAATCTTTGCACAAACATTAATGAATTAAACTTCACAACCTACCCTGTGATGTAGATCAGTATTATGATTCCCTATTTTACAGATAGGGAATCTGAGGTACAGAGAGATTAAATGATTTGCCCATGGTTGTACAGGAGGTCAGTGGCAGAGCTGGGACTAGAATCCAGATCTTCCAGCTCTTAAACCCACGCCAGTCAGTATTCCTCAGCTGACATGTCACAGTGCAAGATGCCACTAAAATATTTTTTTCCTCAAACTTGTGGTCTCTCGGGTGTCCTGGTGGCTTGATGGTAAGCATGAAGAATGGAGCTTGTACAGGGACGACGAGAACATAGATTAAACAGACTGATCAACTTTTTTGGGGCCTCGGCTCCCTTGTGCCAGTGTGAGAGACCCTCAGAGGGTTGTTTCAGGGCTTCATATGTTATTATTTATAACTTGCTTTGAGACAATTCATGTTGGAAGGCTCTATAGAAGTGTCAAGTATTATGTTTGCACATGGTATAATTAAGAACTAGGAGTGAATACACCAGTATATTCCCACATGGCTCTAGCAGTCTAAAAATGTTGATCTTTGGATCGATCAGACTGGGTCATTTGCCTATGACTGCATTGATAAGCAAATGTAGGATCCAGTTCTAAAGAGATTTGGTCATTGACCTATGGCTCCATCGATCAGGGGAATGTTGGGCCCATGGACTAAACTGAATGGGTCATTTGCTTATGGTTCCATTGATCAGGGGAATGTGGACATCTGGGCAGAAAGGACTAGGCTATTTTATCATGGCTCCATTGATCAGGGGAATGTAGGCACCTGGGTTGCACAGGCTGGGCAATCTGCCCATAGCTCCATTGAACAAGGGAATGTGGACATCTCTGGTCTGAGCAGACAGGGTCATTTGCAACTCTGTGGATGGCTCTGCAGAATAAAAGAAGAGAATAAAAAAAAGGGAAAGTTATAAAATAGAAAACGCTGTGGAAAGGCATGAAATGTGCTGCTGGCACTGTGGCATAATTCTGTCAGGTGTGGGTCTGCTACTGAGACAGGAAGCTGACTGTTATTTTAAGGGGGTTTATCTCCCATGTGCCATCGACACACAACAGAGTTATCTATTAGGCACAAACCACCAGCTCTTTTCTGGCCCCTGCAAACAAAAAGGAACGGAAGAAATATTTTACACACAGCAAGTATTTAAACTTGTCTGTCCACTAAAAAAGAAAATCCAGAGAGAGAGAGAGAGAGAGAGAGAGAGGAGGTACTACCTAGTA